GATTTAGTAAGAATATCATATTAGACAAATCTTGTTGAGAGATTTTCCCTCTCCAGAGCTGAACTATTAATGGGGCTATTAGAGCTAGCCCAGGGGTACTTTGTACAGAGGTGTTCCTTGATTTGTATTATTTTGCCCAAACAGGCATTTTCTGAATGTTTAACTTTTGAAAGGAAAAACCAAAACTCTGACTTCTTGACATCGTCTTTTAAAAATAACATTTTCTTTAAGAAAGCCATATAGGTTTCTTAACATGACCCACTCCCCAACATGAGGAATGTTTAATTCCCCTTCCCTGAAGCATTAAAAGAAAAATGCCTGCCATGATATAGGGAAAAACAGTTGGTTTCAGTGTTTTCAGTAATTCATAACAAACTTTGACAGCCCAAATATTTAAATATTTTTAAAATTTATTTTTAGGAATGAATCATCTGAAAATACGGATTTTCTTTATTTATACTGTTGATTAATCAAAGAGCCAAAAAATCTTGTTCAAAGGGAAAAGAGGGCATTTATTAGCTTGGAAGAGGTTGGGATTTTTCCAAGGATCATGGCAAACATACTTTATTGAAGACTTCTTTAAGTCAGTTGGGATTAGAGTCAAAGGACTAGCCTGGTTGAATTTATGCAGCAAGAGCCCTAGCAAGATTAGGTAAGAAGAGCTACTTAGGACCACCTAGAAAGGAGTTTGTAGCCTTAGCAGGGAATTTAGAAATTCCTGGCTTCCTTTCAAAGAAGAGATTCAGTGTTTGTGCAAGTGGAGTGAAAGAAAGAGCATCATCAATATTGTTTATGCATGAACAATGAAAATAGTTTAACTGAGCAAATTATATAAAACCTATTACTTGATCATTCACAGATACATAAGGCATGACTACCTACAAAAGAGTGTCAGACTATTTTCCTCATAGATAGATTCCTTTCAAGTCCTGGGCAGGTCAGGGTTGTTCAAAAGTTCTACAACAATGGGAAGTTAACTGGATAATGCCCACATTTGTTTTTCTGTTTCCTTAATGGAACTGAAAATTTCATATCGGCATATTTCATTAAAACACCAACAGATTCAAAGAATGTGCTATATTTCCCAGTCTATTATAGCTGCCATTCCAAACAAAATATGTATGACTCTGTGATTCACCAAGCGGAAGTATATAGTAATTTGCCCTTTAATGGCCTCTCAAAATGACAGACCAAATGGCTTTGTGAAGGTCAAGTCTGATTTAAACTGTTGATGAATTAGTAGCTAATTCTGCATGATTGAATATTAATATGGAACAGTGATAAGTAAGGCACTTTAAAGCTTAATGAGCACATTAATGAATAGGACAAAATGTTTTTCTTTTCACCTCATGTAAAAGTTTAAAGCTACTAGCATATTGACAGATTGTTAATTTTTGCTAGCTGCTTTTTCCTGCGAAAGTTTGTGTGGTTAAGATATTAAAGATATTGATTGGATTCCCAAGTTCCTGGCAGCACACATTTGAGGAGCTGTCAAAATTGATGTTATCAAATGGCTGAGGCAGTTTTATATAAATCACTAATAAATGTAGAAGGTAAAGAAAAAAGCAATTAACATTTTCTAAACTACACCCACTGAGATAAGCATTCCAATTAGAAATTTCATTATTTCTACAGTTTGTTTTATGTCGAATACTGAGTTTTATTGCCAAATACCTGACGGTCAAATTGGAAACAAGCCACAACTGTCAATGTGTAATGGCTGTGGCTATTTGAATCTGTTACATTGTGATGTTTCTCATGAAAATTTAATGAAGAAAGTGCATTCAAAGAGATTCTGTGCAAAAGGAGGATGGATAGAATTTAATTACCCTTATTAAAAATAAGAAAGGAACGCGCTTTACATTCTCTGTCCCATTAGTATGCAAGAAGGATTATCTTTATTGTGCACTCGTGTATATGAAAAGGGGGCTCTGGAGTGTTCTTTATGAGCCAAGAAGGGAAAGAAAGGTCATGCAAATGTATTAGACTGATTTTCAGGAGGGCACAAGTCAATTTTGTCAGCTATCCCCAAGGTGAGGACTTCATTTCTTATAAATGGTTATTAAATCTAGATTTCTTTGGTAAGAGCCTTTAATAAGTGACTCAACAATCTTAAGCCTTTGGCACTTGCCACTGATCAGCACTGAATATTGGCTCAGTTGTTCTGAGAGATGAACTTATAGAAGAAAACTAATTACTAGCAGAGCAATATTTATGCAGGGAACTGTAACTAGCACTTAAACACCATGGGAGAGATACAGTGTCCCAGGACATACAGAAACCACCCACGAATCCCGAGGTGATTTTTGATTAACCTAAGTTGGTTATTTTAAAAATGGAACCTAACAACAACAAAATCTAAGAGCTTTTTCAGAAACTCATTTCTATGAAGGCAGTATAGTTGACTTTGGAGCACTTGAGGTAAATTACTTTTATCCTTTGAAGTACTTTGTGTCAATAGCTGCCAAGTGAGGTATTTAATAATATAATGTGTGTGGTATAGCAGGTATTGATCTTTCTGCTCTTTTTTCTCCCCAGACAACATCAGAACTATGTTGTAGATGTAAATGTATTGGCAAAACCTTTAAAGACATAAACAACATCCTGATGAAATATAAGTGGAATAGATTATTAAAACCGGCATAGCCTAATTTGCATCCCACTTTTAACTTTTAACTTTCTCTTGGAGCCTTGAAAAATCATCCTGAAATTCAGTTTTTAACTACTGTTTGTGACACACGTCCACTGTAGACTTCTGCTTGGCTGATGATGTGTAAACATTCACAAAAGCAATGTATTACTGCTTCCACAACAAAGCAATGTCTTCCAGCTTAAGTAAAATTTAGCTCATTGCAGTTAATTATTTGTATAAATGTCGTTAGTACCCAGCCATAACTACCTGGTCTGATAGGACGGTATTCTGTCATGAATCAGGTGTTAAATCAAAACTTGGCTCGGCTTCTTTTGGCCCTTCACAGACTATGTTAGTAAAAGATACAGACCCTCTGTCCTGCCCAGCGGAAGAGCCAGAGTCTACACTTTTCCTTAATAGTCCATCAGTTTTATCCCACAATAACCGTACCTGTTGTTCACTGAATTTTCTCTTTCTTGGGAGCTTTAATCTTTGGTGGCATCTTATATTCTTTCTCCATTCACATTCAAAATCTCTCTGGGTCCTTAACTATTCCTTTGGTTGCCTCTCTACCAGAAGTTCTGCATAGAAGGAGATTTTTGTTTTTAATAGTCTCTGAGATATATTTATACTTAAGCTTGGAAATGACTGGAGTTTATCTTAAAACCTGGAAACTCAGGCTAGCATGATGGCAAGGGGACAGAATACAGATGAGACCTGGAGGAACTCCTGGTGTGGAGGGATAAACGCGTGAGTTAATAAGTACGAGATGGTGGATTTGGGTAGCTGCTGCTGTGGTAGCTCTGAGGAGGAAAGGTGAAATGAGTTTGAGAGAATTTGGAAAAGATTTACAAAGAAGGTGACTTTGGCTTCGTGGCTTCCTAGAGGCACAGAAGACCCAACAGACATGATTTGTCTGGGAAGTGGTGAGAATTTCAATGTAAGCAGAGGGAAAAGTTCCTATGAGAGAGGTGATCTCTAAGAGGCTGAGAAAAATGAGACCTGACTGAAAAGGACTTTGCTAGCCAGGTTTAGGAGACTGAGTTTACCCCTCGGCTTCAGAGGGAGCGAGGTGGCGAACACATGCTGTTGACTGAGAACACAGTGCAGGCGTCAAAATGGAGCTTCTTCATTAGAAATTGTAACATAACCTCGGTAAGATTCACGATCAACTGTGGATTCATGGATTATACTGGAGCTTGTAGGAAGCATCCAAGGAGAAGCAGTATGCCAGATCTGATGATTTAAATGTTTTGCTCACTGGTGTTTATGCTTTTGAGTAAATACAGAATTGGTGGCTTATGAAAATTTATCAGTGGCCATGAGAGAGTATTGATTAAATCAATGCCAGACTCAATGGGAAGTAAAAATGTTTCATGATCTTCAAACAAATGGCCATGTTCTAATTTGGATAATTGCCACACATCTCACTAAAATTCCTTCAATGCCTAGATAGACCATACTTTTCTAATCCTGGCTAGAAGAGCTGGCAATGTCAGTTATCCGTGTGGGGCATGATTGTGGGATTTAAGTGGACTTTAATTTCTTAATAGCTGGGATCTGGAACAGTTTCAATGTGGACAGCAAGAAGTGAACTTTGGATGAGTTGGAGATTCAAATTTAGGGAATTAAAGTTTTTAATTACTGAAAATGGTACAGGTCTTTGGGATGGAGGAAAGCATTCTCTTTTCCCTGTAAGGAACACGTGCTTTTGTGCCATTAATATGGAATAGTGCTTTTGCTCTTCTTTTGTAAAGCATCCTCAAACAATTTTCTGGTTAATTGAAACTCCTTACAAAGCAATCAATTTGGGTTGAACCTTATGCTTGTGTGGAAAAACATGGAGTTATAAGAAAAATATATCAGCTTCTAAACGGATAGCTTGACCATCTTCTGCTTGTTCCCCATGTGCTCTCCAAGCTGGCACTGCTGGCTTCCATGCTGCTCTCTCAGCGAAACCTTTCAGCCTATACTTGTGACATTCCTGAATCTTTCTAAAATCTCGTGCTCCCTTTTTTGTGACGTGGCCGATTTTGCTCTTTCCTAAATGCCAATTTTAAATCAGATCTTCCTCTGGATACTCACGGATCTCAGGCACAAATGCTGTGATTCTTTCTCCCTCTTTGCTGTTGAAAAACTCGCTGCAACCCCTCATCATAGCCAGCCCCGTCTGAGCTCCGTGTTAGTATATTGGCCTCTTATGTAGACTGTGACAGCATTGTGACTGTGTTCTAATTCATTAGTGCGTGGTTTGTGTTAAGTTCTCAAGCAAGCGCTGAATAAGGTAAAGAGAGAGATTTCTGGACAGCCTTGAATTTGGGGCATCTGACTTACTAACTGAATGTTTCTATCGCCTTTTGTTTTGCAGAAGATCAGATTCCCAGGGGCTTCCCTACCATTGACATGGGCCCACAGTTGAAGGTGGTTGAACGTACGCGCACGGCCACCATGCTTTGTGCAGCCAGTGGCAATCCGGATCCAGAAATCACTTGGTTTAAAGATTTCTTACCCGTGGACACAAGCAACAACAATGGTCGTATTAAGCAGTTACGATCAGGTAGGGTCTTGTTACTGTTTCTACTAACTCCTAGATAACTTTTTTTAAAATTTTTCTCTCTCTTTATTTTTATTTTTAATTTTATTTATTTTTAATTTCTAGGTACTGATTTTTCTCCCTCTTCTCTTTCTCTGTTACTTAATGGGTGGTCCATGTTTGTGATGTCATAGCCTGTTTCAGAGTCTGTCTTTCTCCTTTTTCTGTGTGTTTTGCAGCTTCTGTTTAATCCACATTGCTCACTGCTGTGACTGTATTTTTGATAATTTTTTAAGTTACTGCTTTTTTGCAGTATTTGATGAATCCATTTTCTCCTCTTTCTTTCTTCTTTCTCTGCTTTCTTTTGAAACAAATTTATTTCAACATTGGACTTCATTCAGAACTTGCAAGGAGTTCCAATGGTTGTATCCATTAGAAAACAAAATGTTCATATTAAACACTAAATGATTCAATTTTATTAAAGTATGTTTTCTGCTGTCTTTTCTACCTTTGAACTCATCAAAGTACCAAAGTGTAGTAAGCCTGGGCACATCTGCTTTCTTGTCACTAATACATAAAACATAGAAATGTTATCTCATGAGTAATCAGATGTATTTTTTAAAAAGTCTTAAATACCAGTGAAAGGAGGGGATTTTTATCAATACTCTGATAATATCGTTGTGAGTGGACATTTTCTACACCTTAGCCACAGTAGTGTGCGCCCACACTCAAGGTTTTTGAACCCTCCAGTGACTGGATCTACAGAAGCCTGCTTTTGGTGTAGACTCCAGCTTTTGCTGTTTTCTCTCTCTCTTTGCCCTTTTCTCCTTTTCCCATTCCCATCCCAAGTTGATGCCTTTGCTCTCTTAGATTAAAAGTAGAGATAATTCTAAATTTCTTAAGCTTTAGAGCCTGTCCCTAGGTAACGTCACAGGGACATATACTAATAAGCTGTTTACTTTGACATTGGTAGTAATATTGATATAGAATTCTAAGTTGTTTAACTGCCTGTCTTCCCAGAATTCTCAGCTTTTGACCTGTCCTGTGATGTTAAAGCGTCTTGTTAACTGCCTCTTTTGCTTGTTGTCAGCAGAATTGTGTAGATTAGCATTCTGTTATTGTAAATGAAGAATTAATTATTCACATGTAACATAGATGATTTAGTATATAAAGCTTTAACTCTGAAAAATTTGTACCAAATTATAAGGAATATAATAATATTTTTATGCTGTCTTTCTTCTCTCCGTATTTAAATCTCCAGAATCTATTGGTAAGTGCTTAGTTCTGAAGCGCACTTCAACCCCACTAATTTCCATATCCAGAATATTATTATTAATAATAAAATGCATGGCATGCATTTTACTAACTGTCAGTGTAGACACCAGACCTCTGTAGTGGCGCCCACACACACCTCCACAGAACTGTTATTGTGAGAACACTGTGTAGAAAAATTAAATAGTACACAAGTTATAGCACACCAATGTAGCATAGCAAGTAGTATAAGATATCCGATCAACAGTGTTTGTTTCCAGATAGTCTTTAGAGTTTCCTATCACAGTATATATATATATGCATATCTATATATATACTTAAATAGATTAGCCAGTGTTTTCCTAAACTATGTCTTTAAAAATATTGTATAGTTCCTTTTAAGAGATACGAGGCATATAAGATATATTTCTAACCCTATATGACCCCAGATCTGAGAACTCAGTTGCTTCTCTGAGAAAGGCAATGCTGCCTATTGCGGTCTTTACCCTCTGCGGTATAATGCAACTTGCTTTTTATGATCTAATAATACTATCTAATATATTCCTGTTTTACCAGTATAGTAATTCAAGTTTCTTTTAAGACCTTATTTAATTCTGTAAATCTAATTTAATTCTTCTCCCCAGCCCTAGCCTCCTTCTTCTCGTACTAATGCTTCTTCTTTCTAATCTTATTTGCATTCATATTATCCACCCAGGTGGTACACCAATAAGAGGTAAGAGTGCTGAACTAACGTTCACAGAATGATCTTACTCATTCCTTCTGTCCTTTCATCCCTCTCATCTTTGTCCTGTTTTCAGCATCGTTCCGATAATGTCCATCAACTTTGTATTTTTAGTTTCCTCTTTGTACTGTTTGGTTATGACCAGTGACTCTCATCTTGTGACCTTTCCTTTCCTTTTTCTGTTTCTCTTTGTTTTGTTCATTTCTTTCTTTATGAAAACAATTATTTAAGTTGTGATATGCTTCAAAGAAAGCATATCGAGGTCGTCAGACCACAGACCAGTCACAGCGTACCATCTGTCCCTCTTTTTTTCCTTTTCTTCTTCTTCCTTTTTCCTTTTTCTTTTTTTTCTTCTTTTTCCTTTTTTTTTGTCCAACCGGAGAAAAAAAAAGATCATTTTTTTTCTTCCTTAGCTGTTCTTGTTCTGGACCTAAGCCAAGGTGGTCTGGAGAACAGTGGCAGACATGCAGAAGACACCCCGGAACATCTGCTTTTTGTCTTTATCTTTCAAAAGGTTTTTGCTTTTGTTCTTCAATTCTTTTTTCTCTTAATGTCTTAAAAGTCAAAGAATGACTCCCCTTTCCACCTGATCCCACTCGTCTACAATCTGACAGCAATGCTTTTTTCCCCACTTCTTTTTTTCTTGGATTACTCGTCTCCGGATTTTTGGATCTTCTGTCCTTCAGGCTATGGAAACAAAAGGTGCTCAGTATTCTTGGTGGTATGTGGTATTGCTGGATTTTCATACTTTGACTCAGTGTGCATTTCTTTTGTAATTCTTGTTTTGTATTTTTCTTGGGGTTTTGTGACACCACACTGCTAATCCCACTGGTGGATTTTGATGGGTGTCTTAGGGGATCCATCTCAGGGTCCTCAAGCAGTGGTTGGTTGGCTCTTCCTTGTGGCACGGGCCGTGCCTTTTAACTTTTTAAAAATCTTCTAATTCAACTACTCTTTGTTTTTCAGCAAACGTAATCAATGATTGTAAGTCGTGGAAAACTGTCTTTCTTTTCTTAAAAATCTGCATGTCTTAAGGGAGTTTTGTTTCTTTAAGTGATATTTTGATAATTTATAATGACTAATTTTAATTTTTTTGCTTTGTGCAGCCTTTTTGTGCTTGCTGCGTATTTTTGGCTTTCTTCAGCAGAAGACTTTCTTGAAAACCCAGCCTGGTTTTTTTTGAGCGTACCTATCTTTTGCGCCACTTTTGATACCAAATGAAACAAAACAAAACCAAAAATTAATCTTTTGTTTTATTTAAAAGCCATACTTCCTTGAAGCAGTCTCACCCATCTTCATTTTATTAGTCTAGGAAATAAGAGTGTTAATTATGACTAGAAGTCTTGCTTGGGAAAAGAGATATTTTTTCTAATGCTAGCATTGATGATGTAAAAAAAATAATCTCTATATGTTTTTCTCATCGCATCATTTTCTGTCTGTGCAACTTAGCAAGAGATTGAATCGACGTTGAGCGGACCTTCGCTTTGCAGGGCTTTTCATATTGTTAAGAGGTTTAGCTTTCTGAACTGAGAAAGCCTTCTCTGATCATCTCTTTGGCAATATATTTTATATCCATACAGGAGCCCTTCAGATTGAGCAGAGTGAAGAGTCTGACCAAGGAAAATATGAGTGTGTTGCCACCAACAGCGCGGGCACTCGCTATTCCGCTCCTGCCAATTTATATGTCAGAGGTAGGAATGACATAACCTTGGCATTGCTTTTTCATTCAGGCTCAGGGGGAGTGAGATGCCGCAGGGTCTATGGTGTTACATCAGTAGTTAACAAGCTGATTTGATAACAGTGACAGTAGCTGAAACATTTTAGTAAATAGAGAAGTAAAAATTTTCAAATATGTTGTTTAACCCCAAAAGACCACTCTTGAGTATAATCTATCCCGAGGCTTGAAGTTTGTAAGTATATTTGCATTTTTACATCTCGGTTTCTGTTTTTACTGCATCGATTGAACTGTGCTTTGCATTTGTTTGAGGTTTTCTTCTTTTCCTTTCTCTTTTTTCTGTTGTTTCTCTTCTGTTTCCTTATTAAACCCCTGAAATAATTGCTTGGTGTGCTACTAATCAGTTTTCTGTGCAATTCCAAGCATAAAGGTGTTTATGTCTTCATGACCCCTGCTGCTGAAACTGTAAGGATAAAGCTGCTAACTCTATAAACAGGTGCTACATGCAAATAGCACAGTTGTATTTTGTTCTTTGCATATTTTCTTAAACACATGGTATATATACATGTGTATTCATATAAATGCACATAGGTACACCTTTTTGTTTGAATTATTAAGACTTACCGAAATGTTTAGTTTTGTGATTGTCATGGAAAACTGTATTTTAAAGAGTAATGTGAGTTGTCCTTGAGACAAGAATGAATTATGAGGATACGTTCAGATGTTTTCATGAAGTAACAGAAATGATTAAATTTTGAGCTTATGAATGGCTGTGCCTTTCCATTCGACTAGAAAGAAGTACTTCCTCTTTCCCGGAGTTCTCAGCCAGTTCCTGTAGTTTTTTTTTTTTTTTTTTCCAGTGGGAATGTTCTTACTCCTGGTCTACATATCTGTGAATAACCACAAAAGGCATGGGTGGGGGTGGGATTAAAGAAAAGACTGAGAGGGCTTTAAGTTACAATAGGATGAGTTCCCTTAAGAAAATACCTAGCTTGATTTTGAAATTTTTGTTAGAGGTAATTTTGTTTCCCTGGGGATGTTTTTCTCTCCTTTCTTTCTGTGGAGTCTGGGGTGGGGAAATATGAAGAAAGCCATTTCTTCTCTAAATTCTTTGAAAGTCCCTTGACCCTTTTTCCACAATAGTGACCTCCTTTGCTGCATGAGGCATGTGTACCTTCTTCCATGGAAAATTTCAAAATGATGCTAGCTATTGTTTCTAATACCATGTTAGTTCGTGAGATATTGCTAACTTTTCCAGCTGGGGTAGGAAGGATGAACTAGAGCAAATAAGATGTTCAAGTAGCAGTTGAAAGCCTTGATATGGCCTTTTTACTCTCTCTGTGTTTCCCTTGTTTTTCTCCTTTCCTCATTTCATTGTGTTCTGCATCAAACCCCCTACATCCCTCAGAGCTGCGAGAAGGTTGGTGTGTTTTTTACTTTTTACCCACCTTACAAAACTATTAATTAAACCAATAACAAAGAATACAAATGAAATGAATGTAGCTGCATTGTGTTCTTCTTTTGGTTAATGGTATGTTTTAGCAGAGAATGCCCTGGCCATGGCTTCCAGTGCTTGCTGGTGGTATCTAACTGTGGTGCATGTTGGGAGAGAATGTACCTGGGTGCATGGGAACTGGTAACACTTAACTCTCTAAGGTCCAGTGAACTTGGTCAGTGTTCCTGCTTTCCTTCCTGCTTCACTCTTCCCATCTCCCACCCCACCTTTAATTTCTGTCTTAGAAGGATGCCTGCTGCCCATAGAGTGACTTTTTATAGTTTTTCCCCTAATCCCAAGCATGAAGACTAAACTCTCCTCCATTTTTCTTGATATGTTCTTTGATACCTCAGAGTCTACACTGGCTCCTGCTTGCTTTGTGTAACCTCTGTGAATTGGCTGCAGGAGGCATGCTTAGCTTTCTCTTCTTCTCCTATGACTGTCATTCACCCATGAGGCCATTGCAGTGAGCCATCTCAAATCAGCAGAGGCTTATCTCAACCTTAAGTGCAGCCAAAAAGCTTTCAGACAGAATTACTTATCTTTTTCTTGGGGTTATGAGGTTGTTTATCAGTTTATTTGTAATTTTTAAATCACTTTATTAAATGTATTTAAGGCATGCTACTAAAGATTACCCTGTAGAGCTCAAATTCTTATGGTATGACCTTTTGCCAATAAAAGCCCAAGATGAAGCCAATTTATCGCTCACCTCCTTGTATCACGCCCAAAACACATTTACTTAAACACACATAAACCTGCACATTATCTGAAGCAGGAACACTGAACTGTAATTGCTTGGTAATTTTTCTGTGTTATGTTGCTTTAATATGGTCTCTTCTCTTAATGTCATGTCCCATTGTATGTTTTAGATCCAATGTCCCTCCATTTGAATGTGGGCATAAAAAGCCTTTTAAAAGATTTATTGTCATTTATGTTGTTTTACCTTATGTATGAATTGAATGGAATCCTGTATGTGAAATACCCAGCTCCTTTCCTGAATTTGTAATCCTTACCTTTAGCAACTTGAGCTTAATCTAATATCTTTCAACCCTATCATCCCCTAAGTCCACGTGTTTCAATCATTATGCTTTATCTCCCCCTTTCGTGTTTAGTTCTATTGCCCCATTATTTCTTCGGCTGTCATTGCTTTCTTGGATTCTAGCCATACTCTCAATATCCTTAGCACGGGCCTTGAGATTCCATCTTATGCATGCCTTGCATGACCCAATCCAGTATCTCTACTGGTGTTAGCCTGTTTCTTCTTCTGTAACTGTAAATCAATATGTATATACATTTCTGTGTTTGTTCCAGTGTTAGTGTGAGGTCTTGAGGCTGCATCCACTGTGAATCTGAAAACAAAGTGCACTTGCAGTGTACTCTAGGTGATGTTTTCCAGGGCTGGGATGTGACAGTGTGGTCCCACACCTACATTCACATCAACTGGAAGTGCACAGCACTGAAGTCGGTTGTGATACTCAACTTAAACATGCTGATGACCTTCCAGCCCCCTTTTCTGCATATACATGCATGCATAGAATCATTGTTATATGCATGTATGTATATGTTTTTGTGTTTATCTTATGCATGATGTTTGTGTATTGTTAGTTTGTAGATAGTTTTTGTGGGGCCCTTGTAGGTCTGAATCAATTTTTGTATGAGTGTGTCTAAGATATCAATGACTAAACTAAATAAATAATCCTGTGTATACACACACCATACTTGTATGGTCTGTATTATCCACAGTTTTTCTTTATGTTTTGTTTTTGGACAATCCACCATATGTTTCAGTTGTTGAATCGTGTCTGTACGGTGCATGTCATGTGTTTAATAGTCCACTTTTTCTTGCCTTGTATATGTTACCATTTTCCCTTGTGTTTTGTTCCAGTTCGCCGTGTCCCACCAAGATTCTCTATCCCACCCACTAACCACGAAATCATGCCAGGTGGAAGTGTTAATATCACCTGTGTGGCCGTGGGGTCACCAATGCCTTATGTAAAGTGGATGTTGGGGGCAGAAGATCTGACACCTGAAGATGATATGCCAATAGGAAGAAATGTGCTAGAACTGAATGATGTAAGACAGTCAGCAAATTACACCTGTGTTGCCATGTCGACACTAGGTGTCATTGAAGCAATAGCACAGATCACTGTCAAAGGTATGCTCAATGGATCGTGCTTTGAGGATCTGGGTACACTCAAGCTAAGTGACTAATGCCTCTGGAAAGCCCATCCTTGAAAATCTAAAATAAGTCATTATTCAGTGTTTTAAATGTATGCATAACCTAACCATATCTGTGGTGATATATGAGATATGCAAGTCCAAATAGGCAGATATTTTCTTTAAATTATCTGGCAGCCTATGTACAGATAATCCTCAAAATATTAAAAGACAGTCTCTGGAGGCCCAGACACTAACCAGACAGAACTGGGAATTTTAGACATGGTTGACTGTTAGGGTAGGACCGATGGGTACAGTCTATATACTACCCCAGGATCTTGATAAGAATCCCAAGAAAAATCAATATGAGCATTTTTACATGCTTTAAATTTCTAGATATAAACTAAAAAGAAGAAAAAAAGTTGAAATCAACACAGTCTAATAATAGATGATTTAAGTTTTTGGTAGGCCCTACTATTAAAAATCAAAATGTAAGCAGTATTACATTCTGTTTTAGTTTTATCTTTCATGTTGTATAGATGAGTGCTCAAGAAACGTTCTTTTAAGAAACACACTAAATGTAACCGAAGTACTATATTACACGAGTTATTTTTGAACCGAAGAGAAAAAGAATACAAGCATGTGAGGATACCAGTTTTTGTTTTTGTTTTTACCCAGTGTTTATAGAATGCTAGAAAGTGTTTGCAAATTGAGTCAGACATAGGGCAACCTAAATTTTCTGCAAATGACTAGAACTATTGCAAAATGAACGCAAATTATCTTCCTTTTCTAGACAACGTTCTAGGCATTCGAAATTCAGCAGTAAGTCAGAAGTACAAGTTTGCTACTCTTGAAAAGCTGCCATTCTAGGTGGTGATCTTAGAAAATGCAATACACATGTTATAATTGGTACTGTATCTCTAACCCAAGCATATATATCACATATATGCCAAAAAACTAATAACATGACATGAGAGCAAAGGTACACATTGTCAATATTTATAAACATGTGAAATAATGTATTATGTAACCTCAGTATAATAAGCACACGTGTATTTATCCATACATTGCAGACATAAAATCTGTACTGTAAATGTGACTTAGTGAAATGTGACTTAGTGAAACTAATAATGTCAGCAAAATATCAGCGAGCACAACTTTAATTAGCAGTATTTGTTTTGCTTTGAAAGTTCAGGAAGACAGGTAGGGAAAATCTGAATCACCCACCTCCTTGAAAAATGCCAGGCCAGAATATTTAAACAGATTTCATTTTATTATTATTTTCAGTAAATTCCCTTGGCAAAATATTATCTTTCCGTAGTTCTTTGAGTAGTGTGTAAATATTGAATCACCTTTTTTCATAATTACCATTGCAGCTTTAAATATTTGGAGGTTTGCTGAAGACCTTAAAGAATTCAAAAGCAGGGACCACTTAAAACGAATATTTTGTTCACCTTCTAATCTTTGTTTTCCTGACTCTTGCCACTTCCCTATCATTTCTACCTCAAATATAAACAAATCAAACATAAAGGTGAATCTTGAAGGCAAAATAAAATAAAAGAGCAGGTTGAAGGGAGTGAGGAGAATGGGTGACAACTCATTTATTCATTTAACTGTTTAACAATTCTCATTAAAAACCTACCGAGTACCAGGCAGCGTTCTAGGCATTCAAAATTCTACAGTAATTCAGAAGTACAAGTTTGCTGCTCTTGAAAAGCTGCCATTCTAGTGGGTCTTCTATTTCTTGCCTTTATATTGATAGGGAAACAGAGACACTAATGGGCCCATTATATGAATATTACCCTTTGGGTTTTCTCTAAAGAGCCAACTATTAAAATTCCCCTTCCTACCCTTGTAGCACTGCCATTCAGAATCGTTGTTTAGAGTAAAGCACTTGAATAGGAGGTCACCAAGGAATACTGCTTATATTTTTATTTAATATTATTTTTAGTTGTATTCTTGTGCTAAAAGGAAACAATTAGATCTCTAAAAAGATGGATTTTATTGCAAATATTTGTAATGTAGCTACATCAGATATTTCTGATATGGAATATGGAATGCATATTAATATGACAATATAGGCCGGGCGCGGTGGCTCACGTCTGTAATCCTAGCACTTTGGAAGGTCGAGGCTGGTGGGTCACGAGGTCAGGAGATGGAGACTATCCTGGCCAACATGGTGAAACCCCTTCTCTACAAAAAATTAGCCTGGCATGTTGGCACGTGCCTGTAGTCCCAGCTACTTGGGAGGCTGAGGCAGGGGAATCACTTGAACCCAGGAGGCGGAGGTTGCAGTGAGCCAAGTTTGCTCCACTGCACTCCAGCCTAGTGACAGAGTGACACTCTGTCTCAAAAAAAAATAAAATAAAAATAAAAAAGATGGTATAATACTTTAAAAAGTGATTGCGAAAGTGCCTTTAGTTCCTTCAGTGTTTTTAAATATTAGGAATAAAACACTGATTTGAAATTTCTTTTCTTTTTTACCTTAAAATTTTTCATTAGATTATTTATAAGAAAATTTTAGTAATGGTACTATGTCTTACAACAACATAGATGCCAATTCTTTCATAGCAATTTAATTTCATTTCAACGTATTCCACATTTTGTTCTTTTCATTGTGTATTGGTATTTCAGTTACAGCATTTATTTACTGGGGCAAGGGGCTAATTGGCCAAGCTTTTAGTGTAAGACTAGTAATAACTGCAACTAATAGTAAGGCTTTTTGTGGTTTCCAGTTATATTCTAATATTCTTAGTGGATTGACTCATTAATCTTCCCAGCAAACCCATGAAATACAGTTACATACAGCTGTACAATACAACTTAAATACTACTGTTTTTCCCATTTTCACATGAGGAAACTAAAACAGAGAGGTTAAGGAATGTGTTCAGGATCACTTAGTTAATCAGTAGAGGATTTCGATACAAGCCTAAAAATATGCTATCAAGCCCTTCTGGCAAAAGCAGGATTTGTATTACTTATGTATGGTTTACTGTACTTCTTGGCTACTCTGAAGATTATTCTTTGCTGTAATTTTATTTAATTAAATCTGCAGTAGATGCATAATTCTGTCATTGTCATAGTACAGTTTGTAGATTCTTGAAACATTATAGGGGTGATGGATAGTCACTGTCTTTTATCTTCCCCCACCCAAGCCTTACCCAAACCTCCAGGAACTCCTGTCGTGACCGAGAGCACAGCTACAAGCATCACATTGACGTGGGACTCTGGGAACCCGGAGCCTGTGTCTTACTACATCATTCAGCATAAACCTAAAAACTCGGAGGAACCTTACAAAGAAATTGACGGGGTGGCGACCACACGCTACAGCGTCGCTGGACTAAGTCCCTACTCGGACTATGAATTCAGGGTTGTTGCTGTCAATAACATTGGGCGGGGGCCTCCCAGCGAACCTGTGCAAACACAAACCTCAGAGCAAGCGCCATCCAGTGCCCCGAGGGATGTCCAGGCACGAATGTTGAGTTCGACCACCATTTTGGTACAGTGGAAGGAACCTGAAGAGCCAAATGGACAGATCCAAGGATATAGAGTTTATTATACAATGGATCCCACTCAGCATGTCAACAACTGGATGAAACACAATGTAGCTGACAGCCAAATCACTACTATTGGCAGCTTAGTGCCCCAGAAAACATATTCTGTCAAAGTCCTGGCTTTTACCTCAATTGGAGATGGCCCACTTTCAAGTGACATACAAGTCATCACTCAGACCGGAGGTAAGTTTGGTTCAGGATGGGAAGTAGGGGAGGAGGGAAGGGCTGGTGCAAAGAGGTGAGGAGGACCAAAACAAAGAAAGAACAAAGATGGTATAAATTTTAATTGTTGAGATTTAGGGCTTCAAAGCAAGAGATGATAGATACCTGAAAAGGAACAAGCATGGACATCTGAAAAAGTAAATAATAATTTTAAGCAAAGCAGTGCCTTTAGCACTTCTTCTTTTAATTTGTATGGGAATGACGTGAAGACTTCTCTGCATGAGATAGAAAAATGTCTCCCGCATGCAATGTTTTGAGAATAGAAAATCTACACTTCTTTATAATAGCTAGCATGGTACAGTGGTCTCAGAAAAAGTATTTAATTTGTGTAAGATTGGATGGTTCAAGACAAAGTCAAAAAATAAAACTGTTCCAGGGCCTTGGGTACTTAAATGGCTTATATTTGCCAGAAGCTACTGGCTTAAAAATAAATATTCTCTGAATGGCTTTAATTTCTGTTTTTCTTTTTATGGCCTCAGTGGATGAAGAAAGACAGTTACCAGTGTCTCAGATCAAACTCTGGGACCTGATTTGCTAACTTTACTAAGAGCTCTCAGAGATAGCAAACTATTTGATGAAGGAAAACTTGGCCCTCCCATTGGTTTTATTTTCCTAAGAGGATATCAAACCTCTTTGGTCTTTGATTCAAGGTAATCAGTTTTGTTTTGGGCTAATGTAAAATAACAGGTCTCTAGAATTCTAAAGTTTATTCTTGAGCGATGTGCAGTGGCTCATGCCTGTAATGACAGCACTTTCAGGAGGCTGAGGTGGGCAGATCTCTTGAAGTCAGGAGTTCAAGACCAGCCTGGCCAACATGGCGAAACCGCCTCTCTACTAAAAATAGAAAGATTAGCTGAGCATGGTAGAAGGTACCTGTAATCCCTGCTACTCAGGTAGCTGAGGCAGCTGAATCACTTGAACCTGGGAGGTGGAGTTTACAATTATCTGAGATTGTGCCACTGCACTCCAGCCTGGGAAATAGACTGACAAGATACCATCTCAAAAAAAAAAAGTTTTTCTTGAGCATCTGAGAGCTATTCCTTTGACTTCTCATTGTGTTGGCATCTTTTAAACCTGCATTAATCTACTAATGTTTTGGCAACATGCTATTGGCTTATTCTGAAATCTACATAATAACCATATTATTGGAGACAGTATAGTTTGTAGACATAACTCATTGCTAATCCTGGCAATAAATTAATAAATTTTCTCAGATGCCAGAACTAGATGATGTATCTATCATCTATCTCACTGAAACCTGTGAATCACTGACTTGTTTTCATGTCATGGTTGTTTTTAACTATGAGGTGTTTTTAACTATTTGTACTTGCTTCTAGGATTCTCAGAGCACATTGATATTAATAGTTTGCCTGGCTTTATTTTCATGCCATTATTTGATTCTAATTGGCTTGTACATGGATTTACTCTTTATTACACTGTATGAAAGCTAGCTATAAAAATATGTCTCACCACACTTGTATTAAAAACTATCCATGTGTCTTCTCTATGTGCCATTTGCAGTACTTCGGTATTCATTTGCTGTGTTAATATGAAGGAAATTGCTGTAGGCTATTCTTATCAGAAAAGCTTCTCATTGGAAAATAGAGAAATCTGTAAATCGTGTTCTGCTTTTTCTTAACTAAAAGTGGTCAACTACAATGAGATTGTTTTTTATTATACTGCTTTAGCAGCTACATAACTACTAAAAAATTTTAAGGAATTATATAGGAACTTACATTCCACTTTGAGCTTTTTAAGTTTTTCAGCTGTGGTATCTCTTCAATCCCTGGCCTTGGAGTAACATAACCAGGGTTTGAATCCCAAGGTATCCTTTCTTAGCCTTGAGTGAGTTATTTCACTTCTCTCTGAACTTTAGTTTTCTCGTCTTTAATACTAACCACCTTTACAGAGTGTAGTGGTTCTCTTTGCTTTCTAGCGCTCCTATAAAAAAGAACCACATACTAGCAACAGGAATCTATATTGTCTCACAGTTCTTGGGCCTGGGAGTCTGAGATCAAGGTGTTGACAGGATTGATTCCTTTTGAAGGCTGTGAGGGACATAAAATTCATGCCGCTGCCCTGACTTCTGTTGCTTTGCTCGAAATATTTGTTGTACCATGGCATTTAAAAGCATCATCTGATCACTGCCTTCATCTACATATTATGTTCTTTCTGTAAGTATGCCTGTGTCCAAATTTCCCTTTTTATCAGTACACTAGTCATAATGGACTTGAGGCCACTTTTTTTTTTTATTTTTTTATTTTTTTTTTATTTTTGTATTTTAGTAGAGGCAGGGTTTCACCATGTTGTCCAGGCTGGTCTTGAACTCTTGATCTGGGGTGATCCACCCACCTCAGCCTCCCAAAGTGCTGGGAATCCAGACATGAGCCACTGTGCCTAACCCAGGGACACTCTTACGACCTCATCTTAACTAATTCCATCTGCAAAGGTTATATTGAAATCCGGTTACGCTCTGAGGTACTGGGGATGAGGATGTCAACATATGGATTTTTGTGGGATGCTGTAAAATTTATAACAGGGTATACATTAGATAATGGAGAGAATCATTTTATAACTCAATAAGTAAAATATAATCATCATAATGGTGGCTAACATATGCAGGACACACTATGCTACAAATTTACATGTACTTATTCTCACAAAACATTTGCCAAAGAGAAAATTGAAGATCAAAGAGGATAAAAAGTGATTCAGAAACTTGCCTTGGGTCATAAGGTTACTAAGTAGAAAAGCAGAATTTAAATCCACGGATCCTGGATACTTTTAACTACTGTATTAGTTCATTTTGAGACTGCTATTTAAAAAAAATATCCCAAACTGGGTAGTTTACAAGGAAAGAGGGTTAATTGACTTATAGTTTCACATGGCTAGGGTGGCCTCAGGAAACTTACAGTCATGGCAGAAGGTGAACGGTAAGCAAGGAACTTCTTCACATGGTGTCAGGAGAGAGAAGAGTGAAGGGGGAAGAGCCCTTTATAAAGCCATCAGATCTTGTTAGAACTCACTCACTATCACCAGAACAGCATAGGAGAAACCACCCCCATTATTCAGTCCTCTCCCACCAGGGCTCTCCTTTGACACGTGGGGATTACAGTTTGTGATGAGATTTGAGTGGGGACACAGAGCCAAATCATATCAACTACCATTACCTTTTAAGTTAATAATTCGTTAGAAAGCAGGAGTTGCAATTTTTGCTGATAAAATAGACTTTAAAGCAACAAAGATCAAAAGAAGCAAAAAAGGATATTACATAATGATAAAAGGATCAATGTAACAAGAAGAGCTAAAGATCCTAAATATATATGCACCCAATACAGGAATAACCCAGATGTATGACTTATAAAGAGACTTGGACTCCCACACAATAATAGTAGGAGACTTCAACATCAATATTAGACAGATCAGTGAGACAGAAAAGTTAACATCGATATCCGGGACTTGAACTCTGATCCGGAACAAGTAGACTTAATTAACATATATAGAACTCTTTAAATACACTTTAAATACACAAAATGTACACTCTTATCAGTACCACATCACACCTATTTATAGGCTTAAATGAAATATTGGTTGGCTGCTTGTTAGTTATTTTCTTCCCTTATTTTTTTTTTGTGTGTCTCTATTATTAAACACAATTACAAGCATACCCATTTTTAGACTGCATTCTAGCCCGGGCAATAAAGCAACACCCCTGTTCTCTCTCCCTCTTTCTCTTCCTCTTTTATGCCTTCATTCTTTTTTTTTTCTTTTTCTGTTTTTTTTTTTATTCTTTCTCTTTCTTTCTCTCTCTTTCTTCCTCTAAAAAAAAAAATAATTCTTTAATGTAACCATTTTTGTGTGCTTTATGCCCACCTAGGTATTCAATAAATGAAAAGAGGCAGGAGAGAAAAACACAGTTGTTTCATTTATTCATACATTTATCTAAGAATTATACGTAACTTCTGAAATATTGAGGTAGCTACCAGATTATTCCAGTGCAGAAGTAGATAAAAACATTTAGAAATGAAAAAAAAAAAAAAAAACAACTAAGTTTATCCAAAAGAAGTGGAAGGAAGAACTTGTTTATGAAAGATCATTATACTCAAGCACTAAATTTGGCTGAAATTTGACTAACTTTAAATTAATTAGGCTAAATTTGGCTCTAAGTTTTATAAGCACCAGTTTAAACACAGAAATCTACAGTATTTCATATCTTTATTTTATGATAACAGGAAGATTAAACTAAGAAACAGTTTTTTTTTTCTAAACCTAATTCAACTGAAATGTGTATCTTTGACAATTGTGAGAATCCTTGTATTTAGAACACTTAATGAAAAACGCCGATGCCTTCGGTCACAATTTATTGAAAAATGTGGAAGTAATGTTTAAGTAGATAGACCATATCTTGAATTTTTTATGTTACCAGTGGACAGAATATGACATTGAATCATAACTCAGTGAAGGTAGTATTATCAGAGGGCAATTGAGTTACTATGAACTTGGGTCTCTACTTTCAAAAGCTCTGATTTAATTTAATGACAGAACTCAGAAAATTTAGATGAATGGGCTATGGATACATTAGAATTCCACTTTGTTTGACTTTTTTACATGAAGGTATTTCCAAGATTCTTCCATAACAGTTACACTTTTAAAATACCCTTTGATTGAGAAGGTATGTTGTGATGTAATGACTTTGCCTGCCAAGATCAATAGGCTAAAACAAACCCTCCAAAATAGCACAATGATTTGATCTGCTCTATAGGCTTAATTAAAAAGGCCGGTGAATATTAGTTGACACCTGCCAAAAACAATGATGTTAGTTCTGATGTAATTAATGCTGAGCTGCTCCTTTTTCTGGTTACTGACTAAAGAATTGTTAGGATGATTGCTAGGATAATAACCATTATGAATACAAAATTTAAGGATATGATTGTTTTCACTGCAATTTTCTTTTCTAACCC